GTGCGAATTTTGGCAAGTCGGCGTCTACCCACTCGATGTCCAATCCAGTCGGTTGGAACAGATTGTACCGGGTACCGGCGGTATTGTCAGCGTCGTCACTCCAACCGGCCGGCACGTCGACCGTTGTCGTGATAAGCTTGAGCATACCAAGCAGTAGAATGAAGAAGGTGGGGACGAGGATTTCACACAGAGTTGCCATTGGCTGGCGCTTCTTGATAAGCCAGTTCTTCCACAGTAGTGCTCGCATGAACGTCCACGACGTGCGTCGCTGCGCCAGTTTTTCATTGGAAGTTTTGATGAACTTCTCCTGGAGAGTCATGAGTACGAACTCAATCTGGTTGCTGACTTTGTGCGGAGGGTTGGTATTGTGGTCGTTTCAGTCGAGGTGTCAAATCGAGAAATGAGCAAAGTACCTTGTGTGTTATCAGTCAATGGAATCGAAGAGGTTAATACTTAAGTAAAGCGTTTCATTACTAGTGAACTATGAAATCTTGGCGTAATCGATTGATGTAGACTCCCGAGTTCAAAAGTAATCGCCACGATAATTGGTTAAAAGATGCCTTAGCAAACATCTGCCGAAATGTCTCCAGTGCTGTGCTAGTAGTTTTCGAGGCTACTTGATGTGCGCGATCCTTAATGATGAATGCCGTCGAGCCAGAGAAATATCCACTGCCACGCAGGAATGTTTGTCTCGCTTATCGTCTCGCTTAACGCACTGTAGCACCACGGTGGTGCCCTCACATGTGTATAGTATGGGCTACTTATCCTGATTCGTTCTAGTGGTTGGTTTATTCAAGCAATGAATGAACACGGTGTGGTTACCGTCACGCGAACCTGAATTCCTCACTGCTGAGCGCTGAAAAGACGAAGTCCATGCAGCGTGGACGAAGTCTATCAGCCAAATTGGAGTGTGCGTCTAAAACCTGCTCAAATTGCTAAAAAGCGATTTGCATCGATCCGAGAAGCAAGGTTAAGCAACCTGGAGCGGTGACATGGTGCCGGTGACGAAATGAAGAGAAAATCACTCATCCCAGTCAGTGAACATTTCCCCACCGATTCAAAGGCACTGTTGAGTATCTGAGGTGATCATCTGTTGCAGCCCCATTCAATTGCCTTTTATCCCCGTAGTAATTCTTTCTTGAGGCGTGATTACTGTCATTTCCACCAATCACGACCAGTAAAATGCCCGGATTTGCAACAACTGTATCGCCAACTGAAACCTCACTTTGCAGGGCAACAACCACAACATTTATAGCCCACCATAGAAGTAGAACCGGTTCAGCAAGACCAGCCACAATGAAGAGCGAGGCCGTATCGGTTCTCATTCGGCGCCACCAACCCAACCGCACAACATTGACGCACATATGAAGACACATTGTCTGAGAAAAGTATTTTGTTTTACCAGTAAATTTACTGAAGACACTTAAAAGCATCCCCACCGGCAGTTGAGTAAAACTAAACGTTCCTTTCAGGACCAAAAATAAAGAATTATTTTACTACGTAATTTTAATTTACAAGTATGCGTTTTAACATACGCTCATTCCTGAATTTCGAAGACTGTTTTTTTTCATGTTCTCGTCTCGGCACTAACTGCCTTCTAAACACTAACATTTTCTGCGCACGTTTCCCCCGGCAGATTGTTTTCCATGTGACGGTAAATCCGGAAGACCAACTCTTCCCACACTACTAGGCCTAGGTCCAGGTTGGCGGACAATCGCAGTAATTGACCTGCAGGTAGACCTTCGTCATACCGCGTCACGTAAAAGTATCCCTGTAACAACGCAGTGTCACCTGCAAAAATCGCGCCGTGATACTGCACTTCCAGCACTAAAGTGACCACTATGCGGACGCCAACTTGATCACTTGCAGTTTTTGGCTCGACGTAGAGCCTATAGATGAACACGGAGCGACTATCTTCGACATACTTACGCACGATTTTCTGCACCTTAACTGACATCACGAAGTTGCCGGTACCATAGTACGTGACGAAGAGGCTGGTAAGCGATGTTGCTGTGGTTTGGTCGGAGTACTCGGTCTGAAACTGGACGTCTGTGTCAGTGATTTTGACGCACTGTAATTCCGTCAACACCAGTTGGGTAAGCGCGTCCCACATCGCTTCTTCTATTGCTTTGGAGCTGAATGGTATCGCCCTTCGGTCGATCAGCTCATAACGCACACCGTTTAGAGCGGTAGCCACGGCTCGACGTTTTCGGCCAGGATACGGGATTTTCTGTATGCCCTTTTCCATGAATATGGATTCGGCTCGAACATATAGATGGTCAACGTCTAGCATAATCTTCTCGAATGCTTGCGTGCCGCTTTGAGTAACATCGGGTAGTGGTGCAGTCTTCGGTGGTTCCAAGTAGTCTTCTACACCGAGTACAGTTCCCAACAGCTGAAAACAAAAGTTAGCCGTCATTCCAGCAAATACTACCATGACAGAACGCTTACCTTGATTTTATCTCGACGCTTTAACACCCACCGCAAGCTCCTGGCTTCTTGGATCTGAACGTGCATGAGTTCACGAAGCATCATGTTTTCTTCTTCCGAGATTTGCCGGTGTTCAAGCTGCCTCTCTGCAATCTGTTTCCAGAGTTCGGAGCGCTTGAGTGGATTCAGATCTCGGGGGGTTTGTTGAGCGTTCCGTTGCTGATCTGCCTCCAATGTACGCAATCGAGCCGTCAGTTCGGCAACCTCGTCTCGTAGCGCTTTAATCTTCTTCCAAGTTGGTACCCTGCTCCGCTTCGGTCTTTGTGCTGGAGTGGGGGTGAAACCAGACGAATGAGGGAAATTAAAAGTATCATCCTCTTCGTGTCGCCCCAGCGCCTTCAAAGCGTGTCTACCATCACCTTGGATGGGTACTCCTTGCCAAATAGCTTCGGAGATGGAGGCATCGATGCAGTGGGGTATGCCATGAAAGTCCAAACCGAAGTCTATTATCGAAGCGTCTTGATCTAAGTCAGGAAGTTCGAGGGAACAGGCACCGGCGGCGAAAGTTGCGGTTGATTTTGCAACGTCCGTGGAGCCTTCTAAAGCGTTTGGGGTGGCCATTAATGCTTGGTGTCGAGAGCCCCCTGTAGATGCGAAAGATATTGTGGTGTGGCGATGTCTCATCTGGCAACTTAAAGTTGGTTTGCCCCACTGCAAATCACCAATTGATGTACTGCATGATTACCCTCGAAGCCTTTACAGCTATTAAATACCAATAAACGGCTGCGCTCCCCCCGACTCTGAAGTGAGTGGATTTTCCGGGGTGCAAGTGTATATACGAAATTGTTGGTTGAGATGATTGCATCCATGGGTGCAGCTGCACGATTCAGCGATTATGAAATGATTTCCTGGGTAGCAATCCGATTGATTAAATGTTAGTACCATATACATGTATCCATGTTGCCATAAGAATCAAAGTTAGATAGACACTACTATACTACTCTGTCGAGGACATTGTCTGTAGCCTGGGCATCCATATTCGTGAGAAAGGAGTGAAGATGCTGGAGTCGATGAAAGGCTAGGCGAGTGCATGCACTACAGCTCATCTCTTGGATTGGAATACCGGCTAAAATGAAAACCAAACCGAACCAAGCTTCAATTGTAGTATACAGTATGCTGCCTTTTTTTAAGCTGCATGCACTGGTCGCGCAGGTAGTTGCCAGCGCATTGGAAACTAGGAATCTTGGTTGCAGAGAATCGAAAATCTCTTCATTAAGGCTGTAATCGCAGAATCATCGCACACCCTTAGATAGAAATAAAACAATGAATTGACTATCGAGGAGTTTCGCTGGCATTCTGGCTTTGCAAGAGATAGGCGCCTGTAGTAAACCAGTCGACCAAAGTGCTTACACCCCAAAATGATGATGTCCATGCCCTCGGTCTTCACGACTGAGGTTATTCCTCAGGGCGACCAAAGAGATTGTGTCACAAAGCGCCACGTCGCTTTAACAGTGTTCACGAAAGTGTTCGCGCTTCCCAAGGAAGAAGTGCCCAAGACTCAGGCGCTCCGACTGTTCATTTTGTCAGTCCATTCCTCAATTTGACGCCAAGAGCACAACTCAACTGCGAACAACCCGATACAAAAATCTACAAAAAGCGAATAACCAAATTGAATTCGAGCTCATGACTCTCCAGGAGAAGCTCGTCAAGACCTCGAGCAAGGAGTTGTCGACGCGGCGTACCTCGTGGACATTCATCCGGTCCTTGCTGTGGAAGAACTGGCTCATCAAGAATCGCCAGCCTGCTGCCACTGCATGCGAGATCCTCGTGCCCACCTTCTTCATCCTGTTGCTCGGAGTGCTTAAGCTACTCACCGAGACCGTGGAGGTTCCAGCCGGTTGGAGTGACGACGCTGACAATACCGCCGGTACCCGGTACAACCTGTTCCAACCGAC